GTATTGCATCCAGTGAATAGAGATTGCCAATCAAGGGATGAGAGATCGTTGTCTATAAGATCATAGTTGCCTTTTTTGAAGTTATAATTGGGGGTTACGTCATTATGATGATTTTTGTGTGGGCATATGTTGAGAAAAATGTCAATCATATTGTGGTCAATCATATTGTGGTATGAAGCACAATGGAAGTAGTGGCATTAGAATGGAAGTAGTGGCATTAGGGCTAAAGTTGAGGCCTGGGCCTCATCTTCAGACCCACTCTCAATACTGTGGCCCAGTGCCAGTCTTCAGGGCATGTAGTCCTTAATGGAGCTGCAATTACAAGGAGGGAAGTATGGGTCTGTCTTAAACCCAATACTCTTCAATATCTTCATCAATGACTTAGATGAGGGGATATATTAGGAAATCAACAAATTTGCAGATGACACCAAGCTAGCAGAAATAGCCAATAGTCCAGAAGAAAGGCTCAAGATACAGAAGGAACTTGACAGACTTGAACACTAGGCCCTATCTAACAAAATGAAATTCAATATAGAGAAAATAATGTTTTACATTTAGGGAATGTAAAACATTATTTAGGGAAGAAAAACCAAATGCACGAGTTTAAAATAGGTGGTACCTGACTTGGTGTAGTAACTGTAACTGTAAGAGAGTCCTAGTGGAAACCATTTATATATGTGCCAACAGTATGCTGCAGCTATCAAAAAAGCCAACATAGTCCTAGGTTACATTAATAGAGAGATAGAATTAAGATCACATGAAGTGTTAATACCACTTTATAATGTCTTGGTAAGACCACACTTAGAATATTGAATCACCACGATATAAAAAAGATATTGAGACTCTAGAGAAAAGAGCGACAAAGAGGATTAGAGGACTGAAGGCTAAAACATATGAAGAATGGTTGCAGTAATTGAATATATCTAGCCAGTGAAGAGGAGGATTAGGGGTGACATGACAGCAGTGTTCCAATATCTAAGGAGCTGCCACAAAGAAGAGGGTGGCAATCTATTCTCCAAAGCACCTAAAGACAGGACAAGAAGCAATGGATGGAAACTAATCAAGGAGGAAACCAACCTAGAACTAAGGAGAAATTAGAACAATTAGAACAATTAATCAGTGGAATGACTTGCCTCCAGAAGTTGTGAGTGCTCCAACACTGTAGGTTTTAAAGAAGAGATTGAACAACCATTTTTCTGAAGTGGTATAGGGTTAGGCCTGAGCAGGGGGTTGGATGAGAAGACCTCCAAGGTCCCTTCCAGCTCTATTATTGTGTTATTCTATTATTCTAACTGAAAAATGTAAATTGATAATGGTGGTTCTGAAAGAATTCATCATGATGACCTATGAAAACTGCATTAAACTGAGCCATTCAATGGAATAACTCTATAATGTGAATAAAATTTTGTTATGTTGCTTAATTATTTTAAAATGAATCTTTTATTTTCTTCATTTATTATTTTTATCATGGCTGTATTACTATTCTAAGCAGAGATGTTTATGATTTTGATTTAGGTTGTTTATGACCAAAACTCTCTCAATTGTGACAGTAGAGAAATTTAAGAAATAAATAATAATAATATTTCTACTTAATTAATGTACCTTTTCTTTTGTACTTGAAATCCGGACAAGATATGCATCCTTGTAGAAGGAACATCGTTTTTTTGCCCATTCATAGTTCCCCTTTTTTTCCTTTTCAAAATAATAGCAATGTCCATCATAATACCACCATGGTGCATTTTGGGGACATTTTAGATTTTTGAGGCCTGAAAATAACAAAGACTGAATTTTTAAAATGTTTTAAAAAATTATACTAACTTATATGTTCAGTGAGAGCAATGCCTTTATCTGTGAAGATTAACAATGTACCATTTTAATCCTGATTAAGATTTTAACATTTTAACGTATATTCAAATTATATTTAATATTGTAGAAAGTTAGCACCAACCCCATTCTTAGAAGAATGAAATATTCTAGGAAATATTAAAAAGGCAGAATATTTCCAATAAAAGAGAAACAAAAATCTTAAAGGAAACAGAACTCAGCCTCAGCTCCCTACCCCCAGCAGATATTTTGGTACCAGTTTATCTACAAGACAAGAGACTGGGCCAGACTATCTACCAAACAAAAGACCTTCACGCTTCAGGACATAATAGGAATATCTATCAACAGAGCTCACCACAAGCCTCTTCATTGTATAATTAAACCAAGCCTGGGGCACAGACAGCCTACAAAGTTAGCTAAGACCCTCCGGCCCCTGGGAGTCTCACAACCAATAGAATACATGGCCTTTGCCATAGGAACAGGAAGCTCAAGTTCAAAGCCCAGGGTATAAATAACACTCACTCTCCACTCCATGTGTTCAGCCACCCAGAATCACATGTGCTTGGTGGTTCTGCTTCACCATTAAACCAAGCAGCCCCCATGTTTCCAGTGTCTTTCTCCCCACTTGGAATTGAACCCAGATGGACATTTCTTCCAACAGTATTAAAAGCTGACATTTGATTTAACGGAATGAAATTCAGAGACAGGTAAATTTTGCTGATTGAAAAAAATTACAAGCAAATCTGTATACTGTACAGAAAAAGAATCTTGCAGTTAACTGGAACTTCTTTCTCCCTCCTTCCTCCTTCCTTCCCCCTTCCTCCTAAAATTATATATTTATAAACTTGGAAAGAATGGCTATTTCTGAAAAATTAAAAGGGAGGAACTAGTTGTGAACCTGACCTGTTTGGCATTCTTTGTCATTTGCAAAAGTAAATGCATCCATTCTTAGCAAAAGGAAGTGTTTGCTTAACTAAACATCAATACCAGCAAATTCTGTTTGTTTGTTTTTTAATAATTTTTTTAATTTTTATATTTTAAAAAACATCTCTTTTGGCAAACAGTGTGGTTCTAGGTTTTTACATTTCAATACAAACATGACCATAGTTACATATTCACCTTTCTTATTAAATTTCATATCACATTATTACTTATTTTATTTTCCTTTGAATAGTCTCAAATATTAAATTCATTACACTTATTTTATCCAATTCCAGTTCCTATCTTAACTTATTTAATTATTCTTAAAATATTCTCCTATCTTATTTTGCAATATTATCTAAGATTCTTATTTCATTTCTATATTCATAACACATGTTGCTTTTATCTGCCACATTTGCAATTTTATCACATACTGTTATTCAATAAATTTCATCCTTATTCTAATAATTCAAAAAGTTGTCCCCTTTAGTTGTCAATTCGAGCTTGCCACCTATTTACCCTATATATTCTTTCAATTTATTCCCTTTAATTCATTATAAAAATTTACCACAGTATACTCATTTTTTAATTACCACGTTCTACATTACTAACAATATTCTCCTAACTACTACATATCACATATGCGTATATATTTTAAGTCAGATTCCGCATGGTATTCTTTTTCTCAATTACCTTAAATTTACATCTATATATTCCAAAAATATTAATCTATTCAATTAATTGATATTAATCTTTCCATTACCATTCTCATAATTCATTTTAACTTTATTCATTGTTTTATTAAATATCAATTAATTTTCTTATAATAAATTCCCATTTCCATATCTATTTCAATAAAATCTGTATCCTGTTTAACAATAATCCTTAAAGAAAATTTAAAAAAAAATCAGTTCCAATCTTATATATTTATTAAATCCATATTCTTATATAACACAACAAATCACCTTGCAGAATCTCCCTCCCTATTCTTCTTCTACACATTGTCTCTCATCCTCCTGACTATATAATTTCTTTTCATTCTTGTTTGCTTTCTGTCTCCCTTCATTTTCTGGTCCTTTCTCTTAATTCCCCCTTTTCCCTTTATTATTTCCCCCCATTTCTTATGCCACTTATTTATTTTGTCCCCCTCCTTTTCTCGATATTTCCCCTGTAATTCCCTCTTCTGCGGTTTCCTTTTTCTTTGTTTAGCTTTCCAGACAATTCCCCCTTTAATTATCACATCAAACCTCAAATTTTTACTTTTAATTCTTTTCCCCCAGTTTTAATGTTCATTGTTCTATTTGTTCTTTAAAGCTGGTTTCCTCTTTATTTAACTCCTCCCCCTCTGGTTCTCTTTGTTCTTCAATCTGAATCGCCATTTCTAATTTTTGTAGTATAATACTGTACATTTCTATGCTTTCTTTCACCATTTCCTTCATATCTTGTAGTTCCAGTTCCAGTTCCACATATAATTCTCCCATTTTGTAAGCTTCTTTCCCCCCCTTCTTTGATAGTTATATCCAATCCAAATGTCCAGTAGTTTATTTCAACCAGCGTCTTTTATCTTTGATTTCAACAATCAATGTCCATAAGTCTTTGTTTCCAGGTTCCTTCTGTTAATTTCTTTTCCAACTTTTTCCCAAATAATCCAAGGCAATTTCTTCACATATCTTTTTCCCTTGTAGTATTCTAGTATTTCACTTTTCAGGGTTTTTATTTTATTATAGTGGAGTTCCTCTTATTTCCTTTTAAATTCCAATTTTAGAAAGACCAAGCACTTTTCAAAGAATCACTGAAATTTTTCCTGTACCATTAGGTGGCGCTCTCGGTTTTGTTTCCATGTTCTACACTTTCTTTTCGCTATTCCCTTTTTAAACTTTTATTAATTTTGCTAATTCCAGTTATTAGCTATTATTTCTTTTTAACACGTTCAATTCCAACATTTACTTATACCTATTTAGTGCCAAAGTCCAATTAGTTAAATCACCAATTCCAATTTTGTAGATTCTTTTTTGTAAAAGTTTTCCCTTTAAGCTATTTCCTTTCCTTTTCAGTTTTAAAGATTAAAGTAAGTCTTTGTTTTATTTTTCTGTATTTTTCTCACATTAACAATCGCAGCCAAATTAAAAATAGTTCTGAGCCCTTTTCAGAATCTTCTTCTTCAGGGTTATAATAAAAGAATTATTCTCACCCAGTTCCACACTGTCACTGTCTCCACTCCTGCACTCTTCTTCAGTTGAAGCTGTCTCCAGCTGCATGACAGCCATTTTAGCTGTCCTTCTTCACAACTTGGCTTGAAGAGCAAAAGCCTCGGAGGTCTACAGAGGAGTTGCATTCTCCCCTGAAACCTCACCAGGCACCTCTTCCTTGCCTCACCACTCCTCCAGAGTGGTTTTGGCTTCTTTTGGAGCCCATGAACATGCAGAAGCCAGTGCAGGGAGCGGAAAACTCCACTGTCCTGTTGCTGGAGTCGCCGCGATGTCACTTCCTCCCAATACCAGCAAATTCTGATAGGTTTACTAAAATCAACTTGCATATTTTGTTTAACTTGTTTCATTGAAGCTATTTCTAGGGATGGTGCTCAGAAGCAGGCATAAAAATTTTCCAGAAAGAGAAGTTAATTTGCCACACAACTTTATTCTTTAATCTCTGTGCAAATAGAGTTAGTTAGATGAACAGGCCACTCAGAGGAATATTAAATGATTAACAGAAGCTGAATAGTGGACATAAGTCATAGTGTTTTCATTTTTATTTGTGGATATATTTATGACTGAGTAATTGTTCCTGAATAGGGTTGTAACAGTAGGCAAAAGGAGAATCCACACAATGCATGCAAATTGAAATAGACTTTAAAAGAATTTAATACTAAACTAAATATCCAAAATTGTTCTCTTCATTTTCCTAAGTATTCTTTTATAAAATAATTCTTAAATAACCTTAAGACTTTGAAATAATGCATCTATGCAAACTACAAGCTGCAATATTTCCTAGGATCTTAACTGTTCATCATACTCAATTATAGCTGTTACAGATATGACTATCTAAAATTCACAGAAAAATTCCTTTCAATTGTACAGATAGAAAAGTAGACTTCTTTAATGTAACTTTTTACTTTACATTACTATGTACATCTGATGAATATTCTTTTTTCCAGTGTTCTTGTAATAAAATTCATTCTATTGGTATGATAGTTTTTCTTACCTTAAAGCCATACATATCTAGGTTTCCAATCATGACCACAGTGTAATGCCAAAATCAGAAAATTCTTAAGATTCAAAGAAAAAAGCTCTATGGAAGGTAGCCACAACATTTTGGGAAAAGGCATAGCTATTTAAAAAGTTACAGGTAGGATATATGTTTGCTCCTCGTGCTCTTTTTGCCTTTCAAATCTGCAACCTCATATAATCCTATTATTCTTTGATATATTTTAAGCTTGTTCTCACAGTGGCATTTTTGCTCTAACTGAGACTGAGTTGCAATTTAGTTCCATGGCTTTTTGTCTGCTTGCTAATTCCATGCAAAAACTTTGCTTTGGAAAGCCAACCCTGTATGTGAATGAGTTTGTGTCTAATAATTATATTCTGATTTCTTTTGAAATGTGCACCGTCTATATTTTACATAGATTACAGTCATAGATATTATAAAGGCTCAATTAATCTACTCATCAGCCACATTGTTTCAGCAAAACATACTCATGTTCCTTTAAAACATGGGTATCAAACTCAAGGTCCGCGGGCTGAATCTGGCTTGCAGGGTGCTTAGATCTGGCCCACATGACTGGCCTGGAAATAGCAAAGGACCAGTCCACAGTGCCTCTGCTAGAGAACATGGGGTATGGGGGCCGTGTGCACCCCACCCCACCTCATTTTGGCTGTCAGAGTGTTGCAGAAGGCTGTCTAGACTGAAAACAGAATATAGGGAAGTTGTGCATGGCCACCCCATGCCCCATTTTGCCTGACAGAGAGCTATCAAAATTAAAAACAAAACAAAAAGAGAAATGTTTCCCCTTTTGCATTTGAGCATGCAAGATGGGGCAGGAAAGGAGAAAGGGAAAGAGGAAAGAAAAAGAAGAAAAGATGGAAAAAGAGCAAGGAAGGAAAAATAAGGAAAGAGGGAAAGGAAGAAAAATAGAATGAAGAGGGAAGGAAAAAGAAGAAAAGGAAGGAAGGATTATAAGAGTGGAGAAGGTCTCAGGGAAACCCTGTCTTAGCACTTGTCTACTACAGATGCCCCCCAACACGAGTCCCATGTCACACCCACCATGGCCACACCCACCATGGTCGCCACAGCCATGCCCTCCGCTCCCCCCGGCCCTCCTACGTCAAATACAACCCTGATGCGGCCCTCAATGAAATCAAGATTGACACCCCTGCTTTAAAACATGGGGAGTGGGGTAATAGGGCACACCTAACATAGAAAACAGCAGACATGTATAACTATTTAAGATATTATCTTGGATTCTGTAATGGATTGTAAACTTTGATACATAAAACTCAACAAAAATCAGCTTTATGATGTTCATTTATAGAAAAAATAGACTGTTTACTTTCTGTGATTTTACAAAGGTTTAAAGTTACCAACATATTGTTTTCTTCTTTACAAGCAAATGCTTTACGGTATATGCCATTTGAATCTATACTATATTCAGAAAAGAATAAGAAATAATTTAAATAAAGAACATCATATTACTACTGTACCTAATTCACAGAGTTCACCTTTGAATTGACCATGGCAGTACAATCTTTCTGGGCAATTTCCAGTTATTGAATTACATCTGAATCCTCCATAGCATTTCTTACAAGGTAAGCTACAGTTATTGCCATAGTAACCAAGGGAACATTCTAAGAAAAGAATTACAAATCATATTATGTCAACATAATAATACTTAAAAAACATTCAACAATTCTCCAAAGAGAGTTAGGTATGAAAGAACCAATATGTGATAAGGTTCTATAAGGATTAATCTTATTCATATACTATCATTATGTAAAAGGAATCACCCTAGGATCATTGAAAGTGGCCACGTTGTTGGATTTAATTTCTATTCATTGCAGAAATCTAAATCAAAGCATCCCCCCAGTAACTACCCAGCTATCAGTCTCTATATCAGTGATTCCCAAACTTTTTCAGTCCACTGCTCTGTTTAGCAAATATTGAAACTTATGACAATGCTTATGGTAGAAAGTTGCAAGTTGCAGTCACCATGATGCTATGCTTAGTAACCATGGGTGATTCATTTAACAATCACAGCAGAACTGATGTCATAAATCCGGCATGGTCGCATGATTTTTTGCTTAGCAATGGAGTTCAAAGTCCCAATTAGTTGTTAACCGAGTACTATTTGTACTATTATCAAGCTAGATACTTGCAGTCTACATCTTTCCAGTCAATATTTTGTCTACATGAATAATTTTTACACTGGTTTGTTACATATTATTCTGTAATTTACAGCTGCTTCTTTTCTTATCCTGCCACAATCATTTTGAGTTTTGATGTTATATCCTTAGTTATCATTCTCTTGTATAATCTGCAAGTTTAATAAATATACACTTTTGATCTAAATCATGAATGCTGAAGAATACTAGACCTAGGTCTCTGCCTTATATCATTCTACGTGACACTTTTCCTTAGCTTGATGAAGAACTGTTGATGGTTACTCACTGAGTATGGCTGCAAATCAGATCCACCTAATAATATGCCATCTGGATGATAAACTAGACTCTGACCAGAATGTTATACCATACTTTGTCAAATGCTGTGCTGAATTCAAGTCATATTATATACACAGCCTTTGCACAATCTGTAAATGAAATTACCTCCCAAACCTGAAGGGTAGTGCAGTAAGACTTGATCCTTTCATATCTACATTTTCTAGTGATCAATGCATTCAATCATATCAGACTAACAGTTCTATAGTTTCCAGATCCTTGTTTTCCTTTTTTTTAAAGAAAGGAACAAATCCTTTTCACCTATTGTTCAGAGTTTCTTACAAAAAATACATAAGGGTCCAGACAGATCATTGTCATGTTCCTTCAGAAAACTAGGACACAATTTCCCTAGCTTTGAATAACTAAATTTATTCAAGATACTTAAGTATCACCTGACAATAAATCTCAAATTAAAATCTTCCTTTTCATCCATTGTACCCAGATAACACACATTTATTGCCTAGAAAAGGCTGAGCCTACTGACAGCTTTACAATAGTTCAAAAGTAGCTTTAAACATTTGATATGACTACACATAAGAGGAATTTCTACATAAACAAAAATAAACAAGTGCACATTTGATGAATTGAAAACATGAGGGGAGGAGGATACTTGTAATTTATTTTTATGTGGAATGAGAGTAAAAGGATTCTTATTGCCCCAGCAATGAGTTAATGTTTTTGTATTTTTCTACTGGTCAGCTGAAGGATAAGCACAGGATTGTCCCCTATGTGATCTCATCTAGAGGCTGACATAAACAAGAACAATACCATGTTGGCTTCAAATATCTCTGGGATTAAGAAATAGAAATAGTTTGTTATAGAAGTACCTTTGTTATCATTTTAGAACCTTTGCTGAACAGCTGCTATGTGTTTTTTCTCTTCCTTAACTTTTATTGTGAATGTAGGTATATATATGTGTGTGTATATGTGTATGCAAACAACTTTTTTTAACCAATCTGTTCACCAATCTTGACTCATCCTGAATTTCAGCTCTTCCAATGCTCCCTATATATAGTAATTCCAGGCTTTGAACACACTTTCTTGATGACCTGCTTATCCTTTTACCTCATCTATGTAAGGAGAAATACAGTTCACCAAATACAAGCTCGGCGGATATGACCTCGTTGATGACCCTCACTCTGTCAAGGACCTCAGAGTACTCATATGCAATGATCTAAGCGCTAGAGCTCACTGTAACAGCATTGCCAAAAAGGCATTAAGAGTTGTAAATCTAATCTTACAAAGCTTCTCCTCTGGAAATATTGAATTGCTAACTAAGGCATTCAAAACCTTTGCTAGACCAATACTCGCATACAGCTCATCTGTCTGGAATCCGCACTGTATATCAGACATTAATACAATTGAGCGAGTCCAGAAATATTTCACAAGAAGAATACTACACCCCTCTGCTCGCAACAGAATACCCTATACCACCAGATTTGAAATTTTGGGCTTGGACAATCTTGAACTACGCCGTCTATGGTTGGACTTAAGCGTAGTACACAAAATTATCTGCTACAATAACCTGCCAGTCAATGACTACTTCAGCTTCAACCGCAACAATACAAGAGCACACAACAGATACAAACTCAATGTTAATCGCTCCAGAAAGTACGACTTCAGCAACAGAGTGGCCAATGCCTGAAATGCACTACCTGACTCTGTTGTTATATCCTCAAACCCCCACTTCTTTAACCTCAAACTATCCACTATTGATCTCACCCCATTCCTAAGAGGTCTGTAAGGGGCGTGCATAAGTGCACCATTGTGCCTCCCGTCCTTGTACTATTGTCCCGATTATTTGTACCTATTTCCTGTATTCTTACTCATGTTTATACTTATACCTATTATCTTGTAAGCAACTGACAAATAAAATAAAATAAATAAAAAATAAATAAATTCCCCCCAATTCTCTGCAGCATTATAGCAAAAAGCCCTAGCCTGACAGCTAAAATGACCAGTCCAGAAATTTTCTTTGTTTCCATAGAGAAATGGCTTGCCATTACCTCTCCCACCCCACCCCAATTTCCTAGTTTAAGCTTCAATGCTTAGATTTTCTGGTGATCTTCCTTCCAGGTATTAATAAGATCCAAGCCTACTTAATTATATGATTATTAGCCAACTTGGCTTGGTGCTGCCATCTGCTGAGAATGAAGAGCTTACCTCTTAAATAACAAATGTTATCAAATTATAAAAGAATAATCTAGAGAATAATCTAAATTAAACTTTAGAATTTGACTTTATAAAAAATAAAATAAATAAGAATGGAGCAGCCATTCTAAATTAGCTCCCATTTTTCTTGCATATCAAAAGAAAATAAAGGATTCTTTAAGATTCACATTTGCAAATACTTTTAGAATGGTAATAAATTTATATGCATATTTCTGTTTTTGATTTCAGACAAATAAACATACCTCGTTTTTTATATGTAAATACATTTTCATCAGATGCAGTAATTTCATCTATACCTCTTGTTCTTCTAAAGAAACGACTATCTTGCACTATCCCTGTGCAGCTGGAATCACTTAAGCAGTCTACTACAGCAATGGAAAGAGTTGTATAAATCTTTGGGTCTAATGGTCCTGACAGAAAATTATCAGTGTAGAGATCAAAAAGATCTACCCCTAATGGGAAAAAGAAAAAAATGTTTGAGTGGTTTTTCAAATGTCTTGCATTTATTAGATTATTTTTCTCATAAATTTTTTGTTTGCTCTTAAATTTTTTGTCTATGTATAATTTTAAATAGAAAAACCTACATTAGGAATACAAATCATGTTTTCAAAGCATTTTTAGATAATTAATTTGTAACCATACATTTGTTGTAATTTAAATTTAAACATTTTATATAAGTTGCTTAGTAATACGTTTCATTAATTTATATCCTATTCCTATATTGCTGTTTTACTGCAACAGTCCTAGGTTGCTTTCTAAATTAATATAGCCAAAAGAGACAGAAAAACTCTAAGAGACATTAAATTCTTAAAAATATATATATATTAATTCCTTATGAGCTGTAATAAGGATGAACTATTTCAACAAATAGTTTGCTCTAAAACACAGGGTTTATTTAAATAAATACATAAATAATTGTTTAACAAATTCTCAGGGGTACCTGCTAAAGGTATCCTGTCAATGCTCTAGAAATGAAGGTAAAAAGTACATAGATAGTTTTGTTTAAGTTCTGCAGGCTTTTTACACCATGGTTAGCATTTTGAATTGCATGACTTTTTCTATTTTTTTAAATGAGAAGAAACCATCTTTCTTAGATGAGATATTTTTACCAATAATATAGCCACCAAAACATCAGAAAAATTGGGAAAGACTTGAAAATATATTTGGTACCTTCCATACCTCTTATATCTGTCACCATTTGAGAAATGAAATATAATTCAGTATGGGTAAAGAACCCTATCCAGTGAGGGATTAAAACCTCATGTCTGATAGCAGAAATAGTAAAACACTCACAAAATTGAAACTAAAAGAAATAATACAAATGTATCGGTTATTGCTTTGGACAAAGCTTTAATTCTATAATATTATTATATTTTTGACAAGAAAAAAGTCCAAAAACATGCATCAGTGATATTGTGCACACACACACACACACACACACACACACACATACACACACACACACACACACACACACACACACACACACACACACACATACTGCTTTACGAACACAAGGAAGGATGCACAAATATTATTGTACCACATCATGCATAAAGAACATAACTGGAAAGGAGAAAGAAAGATACAGTAATCTATTTATAACTAAAATCATGCATAATATAGATGAAAAATTATAACCTGAATGTATCTTTGTCATATTCAGAGCTCCAATACTCTACTTACTTTCCTTTCTCTTACAAATCCACCTATGGTCTTCAGAACAATTTATCTTTAGGGCTGTGTTATTATCAGGATAAAAACCTACACATCTTCCGGCAGGATTCCCTTCCAATTTTAACCTGGATGAAAAAGAAAAACCAATGAAATATTTCATTGTGTATTTTTATTTTGGATTATTGGTTTCTGAGGAACATAAAGATAACAAGATAATAAATTTAAAAAAGAAATATCAACAAGAGAATTTAAAAAATGGAAACCACCAGAATACAGCAAATAAAAACATTAGTGTAAAGCTCTAATATTATAAAACCAACCCTCATGTAAATTTTGTAAATCTTTGGCTCCAAAATAGATGTGTTTGTGCAAATAAAAAATTGAGTCACTGAAAATCAAATTTCTGGCAGTCAGCACAATTAGCTTGCAATACTGCATTCCAATCACTGATCTTTATGATGTACATTTACAATTATGACATGAATGAAACATGCACAGAGATAAATTTATTCTTCAGGTGTTGACTATTTTGAAATTGGAGTTAGGGACTGGCAATAGCATAAACAGTTCCTCTCCACATGAGAAGAAATTTCGAGCTGACATACATGTGTCATTATTTTTCTACAACAACTTCAATATTGGTGAACTTTTGATATATAAGGAACAGAATAAGATGAGATTTATTTATTTATTTATTTATTTATTTTATTTTTTATTTATTTGATTTGCCAATTGTTTACAAGATAATAAGTATAAGTGTATACATAGTTGTGAATACATGAAATGGGTACTTATAAGAAAAATAAAAGAAGAATAAGAGAAACAATAGGACAGGGACGGTAGGCACGTTGGTGCGCTTATGCACGCCCCCTATAGACCTCTTAGGAAAGGGGTGAGGTCAATAGTAGACAGTCTAAGGTTAAAGTTTTTGGGGTTTGGGGAAGAAACTACAGAGTCGGGTAGAGTATTCCAGACATTGACCACTCTATTGCTGAAGTCGTATTTCCTGCAATCAAGTTTGGTGCGGTTAACTTTGAGTTTGTATCTATTGTGTGCTCTTGTGTTGTTTTGGTTGAAGCTGAAGTATTCATTGACAGGTAGGACATTGCAATGTATGATTTTATATACCATGCTTAAATCAGACCGAAGACGGCGTAATTCAAGGTTTTCTAGTTCTAGAATTTCAAGTCTGGTGGCATAAGGTATTCTACAACGAGTAGAGGAGTGGAGAACTCTTCTTGTGAAATATTTCTGGACTTTCTCAATTGTGCTAATATCAGATACGTAATGTGGGTTCCAGACTGATGAATTGTATTCGAGTATTGGTCTAGCAAATGTTTTGTATGCTCTGGTTAGTAGTGTGATATTACCAGAGAAAAAGCTACGTAGGATTAGGTTAACAACTCTTAATGCCTTTTTGGCTATGTAGTTGCAGTGGGCTCTAGCACTTAGATCATTAGAGGTGAGTATTCCAAGGTCCTTTACAGAGCTTGGGTCATCAACAAGATCTTGACTATTCAGCTTGTATTTTATTTTCTGATTTTTTTTGCCAATATGTAAGACAGAGCATTTATTTGTTGAGATTTGAAGTTGCCATTTGTTTGACCATTCTGATACATAGTCAAGATCTTTTTGTAGGGTAGTAGTATTGTCTGTGGTATTGAACAGCTTTACATCATCAGCGAAGAGAACGCAATTGCCCTTAATATGATCACAGAGGTCATTTATGTAGAGTATGAAGAGAGTTGGTCCTGCCTTGGGGGACACCACTATTGACAGGTACTGAATTTGAATTTGAATTTGAAGATGTTTCTATTAGTGTAAACTTTGAGAAAAATTATGAAAAAATGGCTGGTGAGCAAGGGGGGAGTATAAAATTCATCATTTTTCATGAGTGATTAGTTCCAAGATTCCTAAAATCAGAATCCCATTCCAACTAACAGATGTTATATAAAGTTCTGTTGAAACTACAAAAATTGCTTAGCTGGAAATATTCCGTGAAGAGATTTCCCCCTGCACAAATGCAGTGGAAGTCTAGGAAGTAGAAAGCATGGCTTTGTTTTGTAAAAGCCTGGCAATGAGTTTTTATAATATATGAGGATATGTCCATCAGAGAATGTATTTGCTCCCATGATATACACATACCCAAAATGGTTATTTTAATGTCTTAAGAATCCAAAACAAGTAACACCCCTAAGTAGTACTCTTTGAAAGGCATTCAGAAGAGTTTCAGTCTATGGGGTTATTGATTCGAGTAAAAAGAAATAAAACAGCTGAAGAGTCAGGAGAAGAAAGCAGATTTTTTTTTAAGTCATATAATTCTGTCAGTACTATTTTTCCAGTGATAGAAAATGAACTGAGCTAAAAGTGGAAAGCATGCTTTTCAACATTACAGTAAAATGGAGATTAAAAACATCTTTCCACCAAAAGAAAACTCAGCTGGAATATGCACGCAGAAACATCCAAACAAATGATAGGGAAGAACATGCCATTTCTCCATCAATATTCATGTTTATATCATTAACAGGAGATTTAAAAATTATCCAAGATAGAAATAGGGAAAAAATAGATATAGATATATAGATATAGATTTATATGTTTTCTTATGTTTTCGCGGGTATTTATATGTATGGTATTTAGGTTTCTTCGGGTATTTTCCCACGTCTTAATATTTGTGCTTTTATTATAGTGATGTTTCGGCAGAATCTCATCTGCCATCCTCAGGCTTGTGTATTGGGTTCTTTTTAATCATGTGTGTCAGGCTTGGCAGCCGTTTTTTGTTTTAAAAATTAAAAAGAACCCAATACACAAGCCTGAGGATGGCAGATGAGATTCTGCTGAAATGTCACTATAATAAAAGCACAAATACACACACACACACACACACACACACACACATGAAAATGTTAAATCATGTTTTTTTTTTTTTTTCACAAAAACATATCTCCATCCCAGGCTAAAATTAATATAAACAATTAACTTTACCACCGTAATTCTTTAGCTGCCGATCTTGCATCTGACCAAACCCATGTAGCTGTTTTCTTCCTACTATTTAATCCAATCCACAAAACCTCATCTGAGACTGCAGATGATATCCAATCCTGCCAAAATTTTATAGAAAGAAGACGTTATTCTTGTGTTAGAATAATCTCCAATAGAGAAGAATGAAAATTTGGAATTTCTTATTTTTCCATATTATTGTGATGTTTCCAAAAATGGAAAATACCAAAAGTATAGATTAAGAAATACTGCCTACATTTCTATTTTAAACGAAATATAAAATTGTTAATATATAAAATAAATTAGATTTGGGAAATATTCAAACAAATCTACATGTGACTTTAATTTAAATCTTACTTTGCAATAACTTTATATGGCAAATGTGAATTCTATATTGTATGAAAAAGAAAGACTAATTAAATAGCCTTTGAAATAGAACTGATTTGATTTAAAACAAATTCATTTAAATAATTCCTTAGAGTCAATTGAAACAGTATCACTTCTAGAAACAATTGTTCCTGTATATGTATGTATTTATATATCTATATCTACATCTACGTATCTCTCTCTCTCTCTGTTTATATCTATGTGTGTATATGTAAAGGAGTTCCTGCAGATTTTATTCCAATAGTCAATGCCAACTTTAGGGGGAGGTTTTCATCTCCATTTCAAGGCCATTGAGCCAGCATTGTCTGAAAACCTTTCTGCGGTCTTGTGGCCAGCATGACGTCACCGAGCACTATTACCTTCCCACCAAAGTCATACCTATTTATCGACTTGCATTTGTATTCTTTTCAACTGCTAGGTTGGCAGGAGCTGGAGTGAGGATGGGAGTTTATCCCATGGCATGCAAATTAATTATTTTGCCACCTATCTTGCAATGGAGCTATTCTGGATGGCTTACAATAATAAAAAAGGAAGAAAATGAAAGTAGTCTAAACAGATGAGAAGGAAAATAATAGAACAATATAAATAATGAAAAAGGAACACAACTTTAGTACATCACTATGATAACCAAAAAGATGGACAGGTGGAGAGCAGAGAGCAAAGTGTGGGGGGAGTGGAGTCTGCTACCAATCCAGCATTCATCTCAGTGTGGAACTCCCCCATTTGGTTCCCAGGCCAATGGCAGATCTTCAGGCTCTTGCAGAAAGATAGGAGGGTTGGGGCAGGTAAGATATAAGAGAAGATCTTCCAAAGAGTGGGCACTGTAGCAGAGAAGGCTGTTCTGGAACCCAATAGTTGGATAGGATCTGAAGTAGGCTCTCTCTGTTGGCATGAATAGGATGGGCTTGTCCTAGTGGACATCTATGTAATAAAAATATAAATATTGAAGAAAATACTACAATCAAGTTATAATGTACCCAGGATGAGCAGCATGAGCATGCTACAGATTCCATCAGCCAAAGAGCATTAGCTTGTGGGGACCAGATGTCAAACTTTTTCTGCAATAGTGTCTGCTCTATGGAACATCCTCCCAATGGAATTCAGAATGACCCCAATCCTGCTAAACCTTTCGTAAGGCTCTAAAAACTTGGCTTCATTCCCAAGTCTGGGATGCTGAACTGTTATAATTGTTAACTGGCCAAAATCTTGCTCTTGTGTGTGCTGACTTGAATGTTTTTATAGTTTTTTAATGATTTGCTGTTTTTATTGTTTTAAAATGTTTTCCTCACAAGGCTTAAGCATTTTCTAGACAAGATCAGGAATATTCTTTCTTGCATTGTACAGTATGTGGAGGCTGCAATGTCACTGTCTTCACATTTAAATGGAACTTTTTTTTTCTAAGATATGTTTAAGTAAATTCTGTTCTTATTGTTATTTTTGTCACTCCTTTATCTTATTGTTCTTTTTTTCTATTCCAAATATCTATAGTACACTGTATTTTTCCTATTTTTAAATACATGTTGTTTAATTGATCATATACATCTAATAAATACTTTAATAAATTAAAAACATGCTTATGATAATTCATATCTTACAATTTAGGCCAGGTTTTCCACTTTGTGTTATTTGTAAAATATATTAAAGGTCAGATAAAAATAAATAAATACTATACAGATCATTTTATAATTCAAAAGTTCTTTTTTTTCTATTAGTGATTATAGATATTTATCTCCAACACAAGAGGGCAGCATATACCATGCAGGAAAAAAATAAGATGCTTTTTTTCCCCCCTATCTCAACACAGATTGAGGACTTTTTGAATAACATATATATTCTTAAATGAAAATTAAATTTACTGAAATACTCAGAAAGGTGATTTGTATTCATTTTGTGAATTGGATTTACTATCATTCATAATCACCCAATATTTCTCAATTTATTTCTAAGCAAAATAGTTAAATGAAGCTCATAAACCCCAAATGTATCCAAATTACTCCTAGTTAATTTACAGGACCATATACATTTCAAAAATGATTCAATACTATATCAGATAACATGCAACATGTCCCTGCCATTCATTAATGTAGCTGATTTTTTTCAGAAAATTATGAAAAATTAAAAAGACTTTTAAAGTAGCCATATATTTTTTTCCAGGCTTGTTCAGAAGCCTGCAAATTGAAAGCTGTTCTGCTCAAATAGTACTTCACAATCACTTTTAAAGAATGCAAACACTTGTTAATTACCTAGCCACTATATAATTATATAGTACAGTAGAAAATCAGAGGAGCAAATGCTTGTGGAGACTGAATCTCCAAATAAAATGCTTTATATTTGAGATAATATGAGATGCCCTTAAGAGAGCTTAAATCTCAAAACACTATAGGTCAATCAGTCATTCCTATTTTTTTTAGTTACTGAATTTATTCTTTTTTAGAAGGTACATGGCTGCTATTTAATTTGTCCTATATGATGATAATCATTGACACCCAAACTTATTATAAAGTAATTTGCAATAAAATCTAATGAATCACACATATTCACATACATACAAACTTCAAAAAATATATGCCAGCTTTGAACTGATTTCCAATTTTTCACAAAATACATCAATACCATTTCACTTTTCTTGTTGATCCATATCAAGTCTGTACTTCTGAATCTTCTACACCATTTACGAGCAAGTTCCCAATTGGGTGCCTTCTCAGCACTAAAATAATAGCAGTTCTTCTCCCAGTATTTCCAGCCAGAAAACTGAGGGCACCATACACTGTTTAAAGCTACCACAAATGAAAGTAAAGAATTAATTTTAAAATATATGTGCTGAAGATAATAGCATAATCATTTTGCATCCCTTTTAAGCTTAAATATTTTGGGAGTTCTTGGTGTTCTCTGACCTTGGTGGTTTTCTTGCAGACATTTCATTACCAAACTAGGTAATATCATCTGCAATCACCAAACTTGGATAGCTCCAAGGGTCACACAGATTAACCCTGAAAATATTCTCTTCTATTAAATAGTTTCCAAAGTTTATTATGTAGATATTTCTTTAACAATAGCTTTCAGAATACCTTGAAAGATAATATACAAATTTATTGCAAGCAGGCAACATGAAACATTCCACCAAAAACACCTCCTAAAATTGGTTCATCCCAATAATGGAATGCTTTAAAAATTCTACAATTTCTTCCCAAATTTATTTTGTTTAATTGTATATTCAATTGCATATTGAAATATCATCTGCAACTTCTTATAAAAAGTATCTATATTTTGTTCAAGCTACACTGAACAACCACTGTATTTTCTAGTCAGTGCCTTTATACTAAGATTAAAACATAAATGTAAAAATTTATGATGCCATAGTAGAGTAACAATCTTTTCAAAAAGTAGTCTTTGTGTCTTTTTTAAATTTCTCATCATAAAGTTGTCATGAACTTCTTGCAAATTTTTGCAAATTATATTTTGAATAGACTATGAAAAGGTTTTAAAAGCAATAGGTACTTTCTTAATTGTAGAAAAGGTATGAGAAAAAATACTTTAGCTTCCAAGACTTGAGTTTGAGCATTTTGGAGAAAGATAACTATCTCTTTTACTTAAGTGCAAAACCTTCAGTTTCTTGTCTCCTGTGTATATGGAGGAACTTCATCTTTTTTCTGTGTATAAAAGCAGAACTACGGAAATTTCTGCATTTGAAATAATGAGGAAGAATGCAAGGCTACCACAGCTGTAAAAATACCCTTTAAAAATACATTATTTTAAAAATTCCTCTCACATATGTAACTTTAAAACAGGGGTCTCCAACCTTAGCAACTTTAGCAGCTTTGCTGGCTGAGGAATTCTGGGAGTTGAAGTCCACAAGTCTTAAAGTTGCTAAGGTTGGAGACCCCTGCTTTAGAAGGTTTCACCCTTCTCATGTTTGATGAACTCATGTTTAAAAGCCATACTAAAAGAGTCATGGTATAAGAAAAGGCAGAAGAAAAAAGCTGAGACCTTGATATAGAAGAAAGTAAATAGTTAGTGTATGTGTATGTGTTTGCATGGAGAAAAAAAATCTGGGACTTTGACCAAAAAGAAAGTTTAATTGTGTGTGTGTGTGTGTGTGTGTGTGTACATATACAGACATGCACATACACACATATACACAATAGAGAAAAGCGGGTGGGAGGGAGGGAGGGAGGGAGGGAAGACATTTGAGATATGTGAAGTAGATCATTATTAGAAAAAAAGAATAAGAAAGAAAAACCTACAGAAACACTGATTACCACTGAAAACAATATAAAAAAAGAGCAGAACAACAACAAAAACCAGAACAAAGGATAAGGATAAAGAACCAAAGCTGGAGGACCACATAGAAAAAGATGTCAAATCACTGTTTAATATCTGGCAAAATATGAAGAACAATTACAGGAACTGGGCTTGGCTAGTCTAGTGAAGAGAAGGACCAGGGGAGACATGATAGCAGTCTTCCAATATTTGAGGGGCTGCCAGAGAGAGGAAGGGGTCAGGCCAGACTAGGAATAATGGATAGAAACTAAACAAGGAGAGATTTAACCTGGAAATAAGGAGAAACTTTCTGACAGTGAGAACAATCAACCAATGGAACAGCTTGCCCTTGGAAGTTGTGGGAGCATCATCATTGACATTAGAGTGATCAATGGACAGTGTGTACACAACCTATATTCCTTCCTGCTCATGAAGGCCATGCTATCCCACCTGGCCAAAGGGACAGTCTTCACCAAATTAGCTCTCAGAGAAGCATAATATCAAGTTCGCATCAGAGAGGGAGACGAATGGAAAACAGAGTTCAACTGCCCCCTAGGGAGCTTTCAATTCAAAGTCATGCCTTTCAGACTACAGGGTGCCCTGCTACACCACTACAGGCAGTGTTCATGCAATTAATTTATGAGGTACTACACAAACATCTCTATAAGGGGGTCCTTGTCTACTTGGAAGACATCCTCATCTACACTGAGATGATGGACGACCATGTACGCCTTTTGCGCCAAGTACTGGAAAAACTTCTAGCAGCAAATCTGTACGTCAAGCTGTCGAAATGCAAATTTCACTGCACACAGTTGGACTACCTGCGATACCGAGTCTCAAATAAAGGCATAGAGATGGACCCAGCCAAAGTACAAGCTGTCCTCGGTTGGCAAGCCCCTCGCACCCACAGACAGCTACAAAGCTTTCTGAGGTTTGCAAACTTCTACCAGCAATTCATCCCCTCCTGCGCGAGGATTGCCAAACCCATGACGGACCTTCTAAAGACAGGGAACACAGAAACTGAGAAGTTATTAGTCAATACAGATGGTTGTAGCAAACAGCACATGGACCTAATTTTTAAATAAATTTAAAATCAAGCTATCCAACTAACAACAAATGTAACTTGGGACACTATCCATTTCTAATAATTGTGAATAAGGAAAAGAGCTTACTAAGAAAGTAAATGACACAAGAACCAACATTTTAGGATTGCTTAATTATTTACATCACATACTTGTTTACTGAAAATACCCTTTATTTTCAATACCCTTTATTGTTGTACAATGGATCGCCCAACTATCCACAGCAAATTTTGGTGAAGGAGCATAAAGGGATTGGGCATGAAGAGAGGAGAACTGTTGCATTAGCACCAGCAGTATCCATTCCAAAAACAGATGGGCATAGTTTGATTCAATACATAGTTATACCATCTATACTTTATATACAGATAGGGCTCAGGTTCCAACATCAAATGGGACTTGTATTGCTCCTGCTAAGTGTTGTGATCTTAAAGCCCGGTATCATGTGACTACATTTCTTACTGACAGCAGTCGCAATTTCTTCAGTAATCCCAATGCATGTGGGTTGTTAAGTGGGAAACAGTGGGATTCCCAGGTAGAGTGTGAGGATGCTATAGAGAGGTGGGGGAGGCTCTAGGTGGTCTGGCACAGTCTGCATACAAATTGGAGAGAGTGCAGGATATGAGTTGGCATGAATACGGGAAGGCTGAAGGAGGAGGACACAGGTCAGTGCAAATGCAAAGGAGGGAGCAGGACATGGAAGGAATTTGGGGAGTGGACTTGTCACAGCAATTTCCAACCTTGGCTGCCAGGTTCCCCATCGACTTTGTTTGTGGGAAGCTAACAAGAAAGGTCACAAAGAGCAATCATATGACCACAAAACACAATCACATGACCATGAAGTGCCATGAAATTTGTGGATTGGTAAAAAATACTCTCACTGTTACCAGTTCAAAAAGTCACTGAACAATTGATTGGTAAGCAAGGACTACTTCTACTACACTTGTTGCAGGAAGTACTAGTCTGTTTCTGCTATTTAATATTACAGAATGAAAAATAGGTGAAAAATAATGAAAACTTTAATTGTATGGGACCATATGCAACAATGTAGATGCACAAATAAGTGGCTACATTTAAAATCAATTCAGAAACCATAGAGATTGAGGAAGATGACTTTGACGGAAATATGCAAGATTAACTAGGCAAAAAGGTTTGAAATATTATTTAAGTCAGGATAACTTTCCAAGACAATGTTTGCAAGAAGCTCAGGCAGATGTTTCTTTAATTCACTAGATTATAAGAAGGAGGAAGTATAGCATGATTGTACTGGCTATTATTATTATAGCCAGTTTCAATTTAAAAAAAATGCTTTTAGCCATCTTTTGGAGTTGATTTCATGTGCTGGACTACCTTCTGGGGCTGACAGCAACCCATAATATGGGGATAATAACACTAATCTATTGTTTGGTGACATCAAAATTAATTAATTAAATAATATAATTTTTAATACAAAAAATCCCCTCCTTTTTGCTTCCCATCTACCATGTTTGATCTTTCACTTTTATTAAGGTACCTTGTGCACAAACAGCAGGAGAATCTTGAGATCTACAAGAATAGAAAATATCACAATCTCCTGTATAGGGATTGCATAATTCATCACCATAGCATCTATTGCAAACAGAGGAACAGTTTATTCCAAAGTAACCCAAGGAACAATCTGTGAAAATAACAATTGTAATAAGAGTATGAGTATTCACTACTACTAACTTCCATCAGCAGCATTCAATATCTTTATGATAGGGATAAATGGCTACTAGCCTTGATGGCACTGTGACCATCTGATGGGAGCCTAGTGGGCTTCATTCAGTATTTAAACTGCTGGATTACACTGGCCAGGAGATGATTTAGGAGGGCACTGCTTATGTTCTTCTATTATTTTAAGGATATACTGAGGGACTTTGCCTACCAGCAGTAAAAATAAGTACAGAAGACTTAGAGTAACGTATGGAAACTAATGCATTTTATTATTTTTCTATGAATTAATGCATTTTATTATTTTTCTATGAAGAAATGTGTCCATATTTATTTAGTGTACAAACAATATCAGTGACATATTTTAGTAAGTATACCATCTGTTATATACAATTTCATATACATTTTCTATGCCAATTTTTCTCAATGTTACAATGCCCCTTCCACGTTTTTATATTATTTTCATACTATCCATATGTTTATATACAATACATAATATAAACATTCTAACTGGAAAATTACACAACAAAACTCAGAGGTACAAATACTTAAGAATAACTATTTAGTTCACATATTCCAGAATGTACAAAGTTTAAAAGTCCACACTAACACATGAAGTCAATGAACTTTTCATTATCAACTCAAACAGTTAAGTAGCAACTTCTGTTTATCCTACAGAAATCTGGTCCATAGCAAGCCAATAAAATACTTGCTTTCTCTATCACTCAAATTATTTTCTTTTTATACATTAGAACTCATAAAATTTAAGAACTTTAAAACAGAATAAACAATGCAAATTATCCAAACACATTTTTACTACTATTTACTAAAAGGACACATTTTAGTTTATCTTTTGTATTTATTTCAGCAGAAAATCTCCCTATGCTTTCCTTTAGAATATAAAAAACTCTAACATTACATTTTTAAATATTCAGTCTAACTTCTATTAACCCCAAATGATTTTGGGCTGGTTTTTTTTCTTTTTAATATGAAACATGATTGTAAACAAACCTAGGAAATATCTGGATTACTTAGCATACCTGATTTGACATATGCTACAGACTGTTTTTCTTTGCTTTTTATCAATACTGTTCCTCTGGCAAGTGCATAGGCATTATTCCAGGTTGTTATTCCTGTACACTGCTCTCTAAGCTCCAAGCATGCTATTTTTGCAGAAATCAAATCTGTGTGGACTTGAGACATAGAACCTTTTGGTGATAAAAGCACCTTTCCTTTATGTTCTTGATATCGCTCAGCAACTACAACAGAAAAAGGAATCCATTTATTAATACAAACAGAAAATATTATTCTTTAAGTTTCCACCTTTGCACCAAGTTTAATTCTCAATACAAAAACAGCAATCATAAATGAAATTCTATTTCTATACTGCATGGCAGACAAGTTCAAGCTTGGGGGTGTTATATCATTCTTCTTCAGAACTTTAAAAAATGGAATACTGAGTTTTTCCCAGGAGAATAAATCAGTCAAAAATAAAAGAAGGCAAATAGTCTACTTTTATATAATTATAACTGCATTATCAGTTAAATTAGAACCAATGAAATGATGCATTATTGTATTTTATTTCCTGAATTTAAAGGCTACTAATGTCTTGGAAAAAGTTGGATCTCTAGTATATTTTCAGCTGTGTTTACACAATAAAATTACAGTATATTATGGGATAATCACAGCCTGAAAATTTGAAAGAACACTGAAGACATGAGCTACTAATCACATTAATTTTAAAAATTTAATTATTGTAAATAAAAATCTTCAACTAATTATGCTATTACAGAAAACAATTAAACTAAAAATTTAAAATGACAATATAGCAATAGCACTTAGACTTATATACCGTTTATAGTGCTCTACAGCCCTCTCTAAGCGGTTTACAGAGTCAGCTTATTGCCCACAACAATCTGGTCCTCATTTTACCCACCTCGGAAGGATGGAAGGCTGAATGAATCTTGAGCCTAGTGAGATTCAATCTGCCAAATTGCAGGTAGCTGGCTGCAGCAGAAGTAGCTTGCAGTACTGCACTCTAACCACTGCATCTTCTGAATTTGCAGATAGCCCGAGGTGCACTGCTGTATCGTTATATTTACTAGAATGTGTTCTAAGTTCATCTAAGTATGTATTAAATTCATACATTTAGTAATAACTTTCCAAAAGGTAGAGCAAGTAAGGTTTAATGGATGAGCCAAACATGACTGAAGTATCATCCTAGTCTAGTAATGAAGAAGAAATTGTGAAGGAAGTTGTTCCAACAGAGCTAAAAATATACTGTAATTAAGCAAGTCAAATAAGAACAAAAGTCAGAATGAGGTACATTAATATGATTTTATAGGACTTGAGAAGTATGCTTAATAACAACTAATAGAATTGTCTTCTCAAGTTTCAGAGGTTACCCAGACTGCTATCAAAGGGCATGACGTTACTACCTGTAGGAGAAATGAGCTGAATTTTGGAAGAGTTAATTAAATCAGAGTAAATCTGGCTGATGTACAGAATAAAAGAAATAGTTTAAGAATTAGAGGAATTAGAGAAGATTAATTCTCTAATTAATTAATACTGAAACTGGATATTTCAATTTCTCATCTTTCAAATAAGAATGTAGACTTTTCCCATAAAATATTTATTCTTAGGTTTGGCTTGGATGCATATACCAAGGAATATAATAATAAAATATTTAAATGCTTGGGTGTGAATGTGGAAACCTCATGTGCCAAAATGAAAAATCACGACAAAGTTAAAGTTTCAATTTTTTTGAAGTAATCTGGCCATATTGTAGAGAAGAAAATCCTTCAAGTCTCTGACAAAAGAATATAGTTTAAATGAGGGGTCCATTTCAAATGAATTTTATTTCAACCACAAGGGAAACTAACTATTAATCTTAATCCTAACAGAGATTTAGAAACCAAATAATATTTTCATTAAATTCTGATTGAGAAAAAGGTATACTTTAAAGAATAAATATAATTTTATAAAAACAAGATAAGTTGAGGGTTCATTTGGCATTTGAGACTTATGAGATGGTTATAAAATAGATGCTTAAACATGTTTCATATTCATTGAGAAAGAACACAAAATGCAAAGAATGGTAGTGTAGTATATAGAAATTAATATAAAAACAAGATTGCTGGGAAGAGGGAACTAAGAATTCAACATAATATTTCCTTAAGTAAACGATTTAACTAAATACATTAGGATGGAATTGGGAGAAACATGGCATCATGATAAAATATAGTAAAATATACTATCAAGAGTTTTAAAAGTCAAAATTAATAGGATTTTTCATATTTTTCTTAGAATACAAACCATAATTTAATATTTAAAATATATTGGTAGAGTTCAAATCCTTCCAACTATCTAGGAATTAATATTACAAAAATTAAGAAGTTATTTAATAATAACTTTACTCCAGTGAGGAAGACTTTTTTAAAAAACAAGGGATATTTAAAGACACTAGGTTTAATTGCAACAGTTAAAACAAAATCTTCCATTTTTTTTACTTCAATTTCTTCTAGAATAAGTACCAGATAAAATATTAATGCTAAGGCAAAGATAATGGGAAATTTCTTTTTTTCCATAATAAAAAATTAAAACTTTCCAGAGGGAATACGTATCAACCCAGAAACAGAGTAGATGAGGCATATCTTTCTAAAATTATATCATAAAGCAGCATGTTGGGTCAAGAGCCAGGTTTTGACCACCATTCTAAAAGCTCCCATGGTTGGGAACAATGGTATGTTGGGGATAAAAAGAGATCTGTCCAAAGATCATTCCACTATGTAAAAAAGATGTAGTTGAATTATAAATAGACTGCCATTTGTTGGCTACCATGGCTTCAATTTAAATCCTTTTTGAATAAGATATATGCAAATGAGTCAGCATTTTGTTGTCTAATAGCTTTTGAAAAATCAATAATCAAACTAATTACAGGAACAATCTCAAAATTAATAGACTATTATTCAAATTGGATTTATTGGACCCATCTAGATTTTGAAATACAAATTTAAAAGGGGAGGGGAGAGACAGAATTAGGAAAATGAATAGAGATGAAGTGCCAAAGAACATATAAATCTGGTTTCCACATGATCAGATTTCATGCAAAGTTCCAGTGGAAGTTGGCATGTTGATGTTCAATTAAAATACAAATATTGCATAATTACTTATCAAAAATTGGAAAACCTGCAATTATAAGGGACTTTTTTCATATGTGTCCAGAGTTGAAAAAAAGTTGCACCTTTCTGAAGAAAATATTTGAAGAATTCAGAATGATAATTAAACAAAAAATATTTCTGTAGTCCAGCAATGGCCTTATGCACATGTGGGAGATAACTTTAAATTAATCAAAAGGAAAGTTATTATATTTATATTCCTAGCTGCTAATTGAGCAATTACTCAAAAATAGGAATGTATAAAATATTTATCACTGGGCAGTTGGCATAATTCCTTGCTCTTCTTGAAAATTCACTAACAAAATCCATATATTAAATTTACAGAGCCCATTTTTACTGAAATATTGTATGTTAAAATGAACAATAACAGCTAATTTTGATAAAATGGATGGTTTTTGGAAACTGTTACTAAATTTTTGTAATATACTGTTTTTGGATACTGTCTTGTACTGTTGTTTCTTTCCTGTCTTACAAAAGATTAAAAGTGAATCATAATTTTTCTTAAGAAAATAATAGCAGGGCTTTAAACTAGGAAGCCCCTCTTTTAGGGTAAAGAATAAATAGTTGCTGCATGAATTGGACTGAATGCAAAAGTGAGTAATGTATGAAAGATGTTTGTTTATATAGAAGACTAAAACTAAATTATAAAACATATAATAGTCAAAAAAGGTGCTTCCAGTCCTCCCCTTTGAAGTTTTGCTATCACAGACTAACATGACTTTCCTCCTACAAAATACATCTACGAAAGATGAGTGAACAGACTGAGATGAAAGGGGAGACTGAAAAAAGAAATGGTTGGGTGGATTTGATGAGAAGTAAACAGTAACACGTTTAAACCAAAAGACAATATATAAATCAAAAACGCAGTGAACATGATAGAAGCAAGTATGGTTTGCAAAGGTAGGAAGATAGACAGTTAAATAGTAAATGATGTAGATGTAAAATAAATGTAGCTATATTTTCTTTCCTTTCTCATGCTTTAATTTCTATGGCCTACTATTTCTTACTTCTTCTATATTTTAATTTTGTTTACCTTGGGGGGGGGGGGAAACAGCATGAAGTAGGCATATATAGAAGTTTTAGAAGGTTACGGAGAATACTCTATAATACTGTATACTTGATATTTGATTCCATATATAATTCTTAATTAAATGGCTGCTATATCCACTTTGTGTAGCCTACATATTTACTAAATTTTCAATTATTTTGGTGTTCAAAGTTTATTTTACATGCGCCATTACAAACAACTGTTCTTATCTACTGCTCTCATTTCTCACTGCAGAATCTGCACATTCTCATTGTTTTATAATTTAGTCTGCTTTATTTCCTTTATTTCCTCTCCAGTTATACTATTAGTTCATCAGATCAAATTTAACAGAGCTGAAGTTCAAAACAATTCTTTTCCACCAATAATTTAACATCCTAGAGATTAGATAAAAACTTACTTGCAGATCGTTGACAGATCCAGTGGGCTTTCATATCACAATTGACAGCAACCAAGCTGTGTTTGGAAACTTTCACACAAGTATTTGGCTGAACTGGGTTTGATGGTTGAAACCTTTCCAATTAAACAGAAATTAAACAAAAGAGAAACCAAATTGCTCTCTCTTGGAAATTAGTCATACAGAGAATGTAACCAACTTTTTTCTTTAAGGTACCTGTAACACTAGTTCAAAATCCAGCCATTTGGGCAGCCTAATTTATTTTGGCTCTTTCAAAGCCATGTAACTCAGAAACAAAAAAAATGTTCTTGATGAGGAAATCTTTATTATGTGGCTATTTTTATTTTTAATAAATAATTAAAATATTTTGAAATTGCTTACCAATACATACAGATGAGATATTTCTGCATATTTTTAGTTTTCTCTTTCTTAAGTTATATCAAGACAATAATCAAAAGACTAGAATACATAAAAGATGTTATATTCATATAAAAATGTTTCAGTTAAATCAAATAAGACTGCTTTTCAGAGTTAATCTTTACCAAGAACTTGTATTTGCCCGTGTGCCTTCTGACCATGAAAAGCTCTGAGTTTCTTCCAAATTATTCAATCCAATCCAAAAGTTGTCCAAAGGTAAATCTAAAATCCAGTTCTACAAAATAAATAAATATTTAATAAATGTATATTTGAAACATCACAACTACTTTTCCTTTACATCATCTCTCTTTTTTATTTATTTGTTTACTTTATTTTATTAAATGTATTGACCACCCTCTCACCACAAAGTAACTCTGGGTGGTTTGCAACATTAATATGAAGCTTGCATATTAATTTGTACTTGCATATAATCTGAATATATTTGAGGTTGCTAACTGGAATACTTCCAGTATTCCAATGAAATAATATTATTGCTCAGAGAATCTAAATTATTTCTGAGCTCATAAGAGGTCTGATAAAAAATGGTGCCTGGAATTACCTATTCCATTGAGCTGAAATGATAAATTAAGCATATTCATTAGGTTTACCAACACAGTGTTTCATAAACTAGCCAACTGATTTACTGTGATATATAATTCCAACCTGTATTTTAAGATTGCAATATATACTATTAAAGTCATGTTATCATGGCCTTACCAGTTCCTGTGTTATAAAACCATCGAAGCCAGGTCCAGTTATGATCTCATAGGACAGAAATTTTGTAAGGCATAAATTGCCAATATTAAACCTGATCTTCAATTTTGGAAAGCCAGGGAAAATAACAGTTTATAGTTCCCCTCTCTCTCTGATAATGGCAATCAGACCCTCTGTTGCTATACATTGATGGTTCAGAATAAAGTTCAGAATACGCAAACATGAGGCCTGGAAGTATTTCATCTTTCTCCTCATTCTGAAGATCTATAATGGTACCTCATAACTATCAACTTGAAAGAGATGTCTTTCAAGACAGGGAGAACTACTCCTACTCAAAGGTGAACTCATCACTATATGGATACACCACACTTCCAGCTCAGCCAAGGGATATGGAGTTAAGCTGTCAATACCTGTACTAACAATTCTGAGAACCATATCCATATATTGGAGATGCATAACATGAAAACCCTTCCAGATAATAAGCCAAGACCTTGGTTCAATATGATTTATCCAGCTGGAGTCCAACTTGGAGCAGATCTGAGTAATTTTATCAGACAAGTGCCTAGTATAATCCTTTCATCAGTCATTGGGATGTTTCTGTTGATTTATGTCACTCCAAAAATGCAAAAAGAATGAAAAAAATAACTATATTTTATCATACATATCATCATAATATAGTCCTCTTTCTCCAGTGACAATCTAGGCTAGGGGTTTCTTTTCCTGTTTTATTACCCAGAGTTATATTGTAATGTAAAACAAGGACCCCCAGGATCAGAGTGGGGGTACAGCCCTTTTACGAGCATTCTGATCCAGGCTACTGTCACCAACGTATTTCAAATAGTGACTAAGATGTATCAAAGCCTCAGAAAAATCCCTCCAAAAACAAACCATTATCATTTTGCATGCATATAAAAGACACTGTTAAAGAAATAAAAACTAAATAAATATTTTTGCTATAGAAGTCCCAAATATTCCATGCTTGAACCAGAACAGCTACTTTGGTGTAGCTTATATTTGGACCAAAATACATATGTTTTGTCTGGTCCCAGACTCAAGACACTTAAGTTCTAGATAGAAATGTATTAGAAACAGAAATGCGGGGGGGGGGGGGGGAATCAAGGTTATTTTGCACATTTGGGCTGAGGTATAGATATTGGCAACATCAGAAAGTGAGAACTCAGTAGATTCACTACAGCTGTTACATTCTCATGCCATCCTTGAATTCAAGAATGTATAAGCAATCACCCCATTTCCTCTCCCCTCATTGCACCATGCTCTGCTTATTTTCCCTTATGGCTGCCAAGGAATTCAAGCACAGTAAATCTAGCCAGCCTGCTTGCCTGCAATACCCTGAGGATCAGATGTATCAGATGGATACACCATACTTCAATTCAAGGACAGCAATGTCTAGCAACAGCCCAGAAGAGGTAGGGAAAAGAAAGTACTAGGAAGATCAACTGATGAGCAAAAGATGAAACCAGCCAGTCTACTCTGACAAAGCCAGACATATACGTTCTGTTGAAGCCCAAGCCAAAAGCAAGATGGGTGGCAAACAAATTTAATAAATATTTAAAACATAAATAAAATATTATTACAGAGTGGCGTACGAATAGTATTTTTTCAACTTACTTTTTCCTGAACGCTGTTAAGTGTCACTAACTCTGTAGATGTATATCTCTTGCAAAACTTCAATGCTTCTGTCCAACTCCCCTCCTGATTTTCTTCTAGACAATAACAAGTCCCATTCCAATAGTGCCAGCATGAAGCATTTGGACAAGTCAGTCTAAATCTGGCTTTAAGTAAGAAAATAAAGATACAGAAACTTGTATAATTACTACCGTATATTTTATCTAAACTGAAAATCTCTTGCATTTCTACAATCTTTATTCCCCTGAAAACTAGCATTCTTTAAAATTCACCGAGACTAGAAGACTTTGCATTTGGTTTTCTTGTTCCTAAATGATTTTAAAGAGAGACAGTTTGTGTAATGGTTAAAGCATCAGACTAGAAACTGGGAGACCAAATTTTCTAATCCCACCTTAGCCACAAAGCCAGCTGAGAGACTGTGGATCCTTCATTCTCTCTTAGACTCAGAAGCAATAGCAATAGCAAACCATTTCTCAAACCCTGCCAAGAAAACTGCAGGGACTAATGAAGACATTGCCAGGAGTCAACACTGATTCAATGGATAGGAGATAGCTCCCTACTTGTAAATAACAGCAATGGAATAATTGTATCACATTTCATTTTATATCACAATTGTGCCCTTTCCTGGACTGAGCAACTGAGCAGCATTTCCCATGTCACTCATGCCCTGATCACCTTGTATGTGAACTATGTATTGCAATAAGTTGCATATGGGGCTGCCCTTGAAGACCTTTTAAAAGCTACAGGTGGTCTATAATGCAGCAGTAAGAGCATTTCACAAGAGTCCTCTACTTACAACTGGTCAATACATTTTACATAATGGTTCTGCTGAAAATCAGCACTTCCACTTTTTTAGCAAAACAGTGTCCATAGTGAATCATTTGTTCACTTAACAATTCTGATATTTGCTTAATGACTGCCACAAAAAAACATTGTGAAATCGAGTTGCATTTGTGACTGGTCTGTTTTATGACTATTACGACATATAAGCGCACCAACGTGCCTACCGTCCCTGTCCTATTGTTTCTTTTATTCTTCTTATATGTATCCATGTATTCATAACTATGTTTTTACTTATACCTATTATCTTGTAAGCAATTGAAAAACCAAATAAAATAAAATAAAAATAAAAGTAATGTGTAGGCTTCATTCAGTCATATATGTTGATTACTTGAATGTCAATTTAACACAACTGCTGCATGAGTGAATTTATTATCACTAGGTTTCCAGTGCAATACAATGTGCTGATTATCTCCTACTAAGCTTACAGTATATAAATCCTAGTTACTTTCTTTATTTGATTGCCTCTGCCTAATTTATAAGCTCTTGACAATTGACATGGTCTGAATAGCACCTGTCACAAAAATACCATCACGTGGGAGTTCTGTTGCAGCAACTGCCCACTGGAACAGCATTCCTCCAGAGTTTTAAACATTATTGACCTTTTCTTCATGCAAACTTGAAACCTGGCTTTTTCCAAATATTTTTATCTAGGGCAGGATATATATCTAGTGGAATACTTTCTGTAAACTTATGTTTGTTTGTTCCCCATTATAACTATCTTTTGTTGTTTTTAAACATAATATATTGCATCATTGTTTTTTCATGCTAGCCAGAATCAGTGATGAAATAGCTGGTCCTGGAAATTCAAATAATAAATAAAATTGCATCTAAAACCCATGCAATTTAATTTAGCCATAGCTATTTTTTATGTGTCAGTGGGGAATATGTATAATTAGGTTCCTTGAACACATCTCAATATTTAATACCAGAAGTATCTTGATTCATTTTGATGAAAATTGCAAGTTTGAAAATAATGACCATGGAGTTCCCATCGTTCCCTTTATGCTGGATCTAGGTATACGTGTGCAGAGTAGGCAGAGACAAGATGCCTGTATTCCTTTTCTATACATAACTCTGTTCATCTTGTTCCTATGATTTTGTCTGGAAAATTGTTTGAGAATGCTCAGATAAATATTTTCTTCCTCATTAACACATTTACAACTGAGAAGTCAGAAGACTTATATATCCATATTGTATTTTATAATGTTAAGTTATAGAATGAGGAGACCATTTATTGTACCTGGACAAAAGCAGAGAGCAATCTGCTCTCTGGAAATGCCTTATGGCTGCTCAGTTCCTTTTCTTCTATTTTTAAAAGCCCCTTTTACCATTGTTGCTGAAAACTGGTCACTACAGTCCCTACAGTATATCCATTTTCAAATATATGTGGGGTGCATTTTTAAAAAAATATCTGATTTCTACTCACAACTCAGTTTCAGTGGCAATGAGTGCACTTTTGAGAGACTTGAAAGACCAAGGTAGGGGCAGATCAGCATAGAAAAAAACTTTTATTTATTTATTCTTTAAAAATAAACAAAAAAGAAACAAAATACAAAGTTTTGCTTACATTAATTATAATGAAAATTCATTTTCAAAACAAACTACATATAAGAAGTGCTTAAAATGGTAGTTGAGTTATATAAATGGATTAGAAATTGTAATATACACACTTGGATGTAATTTACATTAAGTAAATATATAAATAGAATTGTAACTGTTAATTGCTATAATGATGTATATATTTTATTGTTATTTTTTCTATCTTTTTTTTTACTTTTTTTAAAGCATATTTGAACATCATGGAGAAAATTTATGTGGACACATAAATAGGAGTCATAAATGACCAGAATGACACATAACTGAGCAATAATCTACTCACAAAAAATAAGCACCGATTATTTTCATTAATTTAAATTTTGAAGCTATTTTAAAGAGTTTTTAAATAATCTATTTCCCCCAAAGTAAAATTGTATTGAATATTGCCATGTAAACATTTATAGGGTTCTTTTGGAGGGGGGAATGTCACTGGGATTCCAGTCAACACCTGACTTAATCCTTCAAATATTAATTACTCCTGTTTTCTTAGAGGTAGATGTTACTCTCTGAGCAAGGCTTCCTTTTGGCAAAGGGACACAGACCCAGCCGGTTGCTCCTTATAGAAGCATCCACAGAACACGAGTTACACTTTCAGGGTGTTTTTACCTTCATTTTCCCAAGTTTCAACCCACTGCATTTGCCACAACCCAATCAAGGCCAACAAAGCCCTCATCCCACCGTTTCCTCAGCGAAAGCCCGAAGCTTCGCCCGGCCTTTCTGACCCGAGAACTGCATCAGCGCGATCGTTTAACTGGCGACCTCTCGCGCGTTAGCCGAGACTGGAGGGGGGAATTTGCGCGTGCCCGACATGTCTGCAAAAGTGGGGTGTTGCGCGTGGCAGCTTGCTGCTCGCCCCGCTTTCTTTTGCAATAATCGACCCACCCCGCCATCGCGTTGCCCTCACGAAGGTCTTCCAAAAATCCTCACCTGATGCTTATTATTCTCTGCTTGAAAAAGCTCCCATCCCTTCCGGTCTATAAGGAGCAAAATGCTCTTATAGGCTGTTCATGAATGATCAAATTGTCAGCATTCTCGACGCTTCAATAAACGACGTATGTCAAATATCTTCGGAAATTCTCAGTCGTCCAGGTCATGGTTGTCCCAAAGGGACTTTTTGTCAAGAGGCAACTGGACTTTCTGGTTTTTCTTTGAAGGTGTGTTGCTTCTCATCCAAGAAACTTCAGCTCTGACTGGATGGTGGGGAATGCAAGGGGTATAAATTCTTCCATTAGCCACTATCCAGTCAGAGTTGAAGAAGCTTCTTTGATGAGAAGCGACAAGACTTCAAAGAAAAATCAGAACGTCCTTAAAAAACACCTTTGGAACATATGTCAAATACTGTGCCCTCATTCCTATTATTTTCCTTTTCAGATGTACTTTCTGTACACACACCCTGCCCATTGTTTAGAATCGTAGTCTTAGGGTTTTATTTAGATTTTAATTTAGTGAAATAGGGTCCACCTTATGATTGCTGATTAAAATGTGCTGCCTATCACATCTGAAAATATAGAGGTCTCTGTTTTGCTCTGTGTTTCCTCAGCAGGGGAAACACAAGGACTTTCCAAGTTCTAGCAAAATAGATAAATAATTTCCACAATATGGTCCTGACCTGTTTTTCTTGCTGGTTGCCTTGGAATACTAATAGTAAAGACTAAACATGTTCTGATTTTTTGTTTCTTTACTTGTAATAAAAGTTATGTTAGCTAGCTTCTTTTTTTGCAAATTAAGTTAAAATAAAGAAGTTTGCAGAAACCACAAAACTGAGTATTAAAGAATAGTTGCAGTCAACAATGTAGCCGCACCAGCTCATTTTAAAAATTCTAATATTGGTATGATTGGGCAACCTAATTGTTCCATTCACAGTTATCTAATTATGTGTAGTTTAGTTTTAATGTGAAATCATTAATATTTTTATTAGCCCATGCTTTGCTTTCAAATTGCTAACCATAAAATCAATTAGCTTTATGGAAAATATATTAACAATAATGAACAAAGACTGAGCCATAATAATAACTAGGCATATGCTTTTCTCTTGAAAAGAAAAAAGTATTCTGATCATAACATACCAAGGATCTCTGCACATTTTTTTTTTTAGACTGACATTTTCATAGTGAAGCGTAATAAATGCTGATATCAATCCTTTGTCTAATACAGCAATCTGTTATTTTTATGCAAATTGTCAGGAACATCTGCCTTTACTTTCCAGGCAATTTAATAGATTAATAACCTTGATTCTATTTTTTTCATGGAGTATTCTATAGAATATATAATTATTTTCTACATTTATATACAACTGTTATACCAAATGTGCAAGGCAGTTTATATTATATAATTATGACTTACAATCTTACAATTCATAAAGAGCATGAAACAAATAAAAAGGAATAGAACAAAGGCCAAAAAAAAAATAAGCAAATTTCAAATATTGAAATTCAGGTTTATAGAAACAGAGTTAGGAGTTACCATTTAGCCGCTGCATCCAACCTCCTATTTTATGTAAAATCCAAATATAAATAAAAGCATCTATGAAGGTAACTACTGTGTTTGAACATACCTAGGTGAATGGGAGAATATTATGTTTCAGGTTCTACTATCCAACTGATCTTAATATTTGGAAGTTTTTTTTCTAACATTTAACCAGAATCTGCCTTCTCACAACATGAATCCATTATTCTGTGTCCTGCACTCAGGGATGATGGAGAACAGGACTTGATCTTCCTGTGAAGTTCTTTCAGGTATTCGAAAAAATGCTATCACGCTCATCCTCCTGTAATCTTATGTGCTCATATTTTTCTACTATTGTTTTCATTTAGTCATTGTGATGACCCAGGGTGGGATACAAAATAAACACAGTCACAAAAAACAGGTGAAACCCCTTTTATTCCTTCACTTTGCTTCCAAATATTCCAAGCTCCAAATATCCTTGACTGGAGACAAAAAAACTCACACACAAGCAGTTACAAGAAGGAGGAAATGCCGTTTAAATTATAAAGAGTAAAAGACAACACAAACCAGGCAAGATAAAGGCTTGAAGACATCCACAGATATGAAAACACGCACTGGGAAGGATGCCAAACTCAGAGAGGAATAATAAACTAGAGATATTTCCATGCTTTGTTTCCAGCACTCGCCCGTTTGCATGTCCGTCCTCTTATCCAGTTGTCACAGCTGCAGTCCATGAAGAGGATCAAGGCCCTCTCCTCCCCAGTAGACCATATCTCTCCCTTATCCTCTCCTCCCTGCATGCCCTAGGATGGAGAGGGGGTGGGCCTGGGTCCTCCTCTGACTGCCCAGCCAGTCTCTGCCCTTCCCCAGCCTCCTGCACAACCTCCAGAGCCACATTTCCACTCCCTGTTGGCTGTTCCTCCTCTCCCTCAGAGTCAGTCTCCACCAGGGGCTTGACAGTCATTTCCATTGTAGTCATGTAGTCATTTCTGTTGGCTTTCTTTGAACCTGTTCCAGTTAATTGGAATGGTTCTTTTTAATTTTGATGCCTAAACCTGGACATAATTCTCAAGGTGGAGGCTTCACTTCAATACAAAATGATGTGAAATGATACCTTCCTATGTTCCCTATATTTTATTATACTATAAAGGCGTTGGTTGAATTTTTGATACGACATTATCAGGTTCAGTCACTGTGTTTTATTAAGTAAAACCAAGTGAAAGTTAAGTGACTGTATATAATAATAAAATTATGGAGATTTCTGACTTTCCTGGGAATGGATAGTGTGTTGATGCTTGCTGGTTCATTGTGCCAGAAAACATTCCAAATACTGTACATATGGGACATTAGACAAGAAAAGTTCTTATTCTATTACAGGTAGTCCTCAAGGTAGTCCTACACATCAAGTGACCATTCAAAGTTAAAATGGCACTGAAAAAATTAATTCATGACCATTTTTCATATTTACGACTGTTGCAGCATCCCCGTATCATCAAAATTTGGGTGCTGGGAAACAGACTGCTGCAATATCCTGAGTTCCTTGATCACCTTTTGTGCCTTTCTGACATGCAAAGTCAATGGGGAAGCCAGATTCATTTAACAACCATATTACTAACTTAACAGGTGAGTGATTCACTTAACAACTGTAACTAGAAAGGTCATAAAATGGAGCAAAATTCTCTTCCTCCCTTCTTCACTTCTCCAGTAAACTGTCTATCATTACCCTGAGCCCAGAAAATATAAACTAGCTAATTTGTGTAATTCTTCATATTTGATGCCAAAAAAATGGTTTCGAGCTAAAGAGTACATCAATATAACAACACTCTGCAAATATTTGAAACAGCTGCTGAATCTTTTCATAAATAAGACCTGTGGTGGCCCAGTGGTTAGAATGCAGTATTGCAAGCTAATTCTGCTGACTGCCAGGTTTGGCAGTTTGAATATCAGTGGCTCAAGGTTGACTCAGCCTTCCATCCTTCTAAGGTCAGTAAATGAGGACCAAGATTGTTGTGGGGCACTATTCTGATTCTGTAAACCACTTAGAGAGAGCTGTAAAGCACTGTGAAGCGATGTATAAGTCTAAGTCCTGTTGCTATAATTACAGGGCTACCCACTTCATCTAACCATGGTGATGCAGTGGTTAGAATGTAGTATTGCAGGCTAACTCACTGCTCAGTGCCAGGAGTTCGATTCTAACTAGCGCAAAATGACTCAGCCTTCCATCTTTCCAAGGTCAGTAAAATAAGAACCCAGATTGTTGGAGATAATATGAACTGCTTAGAGAGGGCTGTAAAACACTATGAAGTGATATACTGTATAAGTCTAAGTCCTATTGCTATCTACTACATGATTTTAGATAAAGACTTTTTCCCCCTGTTTTCAACTGAGTCTGATTCTTAGAGAATGCCTGGACAAAGTCCTTGCAGTTTTCTTGGCAAGGTTTTTAGAAGTGGTTTGCCATTGTCTGCTTCCCAGGGCTGAGAGAAATCTGAGAGAACCCTGGCCCCAGGTCACCCAGATGACTTTGTAGCTCAGGTTGGACTAGAACTCATGATTTCTAGCCTGATGCCTTAATCAGTACGCCAAACTGTCTCTCCAGTTAAAGACATAGCTCCTTTTAAAAGTTGTAGATTGGTGCTATGTTTGAACCCTGCACACTCCAAATTACTTTTTGGAATTTAATTCCAAAACTTGCATAGCTGTACTATCTACAATCTTTACTTAGTCATCTGTTGTAATGATGAGGCAGTCGAGTTGTTTGATCACGAACAACTGAATCATGATGATCTTTATTGGAGTCTAGTCTTGCATTTATACACATTTTTAGTTATCCTCCATCACTGGTTAACTTTGGTTACTGCTTAACTTTGGTTACTGTTTAGCACAGTAATCCATACAATTAATTATCTCTAGTTAAAGTCTAACATATGTTTACTTCCTCTCTCTAATCCTCCTTTAGATTAGTGACTTTGTTTACCTGAGTTGTATTTGCTTGGAAACATTCTTTATCTGAAGTTTGCCATCCGAGATTGGAACATTCCTGCAATTACAACTCTACATATCCTCGTTTTTTATTTTAAATGGAGGATTCAAAGATTTATGAATGTATCGCAATTGTAGAGGGTTAAGAGAGGGGGAAGCGGGACGAAACAATGCAAATAAATTTGGAATACATTGAATAAAAAAACAGGTTGCAATTAGTACAATAAAAGAAAAACTATCTGAGCC